CCTCCTCGGGCGCGCGCTCGGCCTCGGGCCGCCAGTTGACCGTGGCGCGGTTGCGGATGTTCTGCGCGCGGCTGGCGTAGTTGAGGGTGTTGAGCGTCTCGTCGAAGTCGGAGGCCGAGGGGCTCACGCAGGCGATCATCACCGTCTTGGCGTTGCCGCCCAGCGAGTCCTTGAGGATCCTGCGACGCCGAGCGGGAACGTTGGCCGCGCAGCCGGGTTCCTGCGCGAGGGAGGCTGCGCGCCCGGGCCGGCCCCGCCAACCCGGCGCTCCCGTCCCGGGCCTCACCGGGTGATCTTGGAGTCGCGGTAAGGGATGTGGCTGCCGCGGCGCTGGGGGTCGCCCAGGGCGCTGATGACGTTGCCCAGCGCCAGGAGGCTGCTGTTGATCTGGATGCTCTCCTTGAGCCGCTCGCCGGTGCTGCCCGTCTTGAGCACCCTCTCCGAGCCCGCCAGGTCCACGAAGTGGAACTTGGAGACCAGCAGCTGGCCGGCCGCGGGCCTCGGCAGGCGGCTGGGCACGCGGCCGCGCTGCTCCAGGGTCACGGTGAAGACGGTGTGCGAGCGGCTGGACAGGCGGTTGAGGTGCGTGGCGCCGGTATGCCTCGCGGCGTTCCCCATCTCCAGGAGGCTCAGCACCTCGTCCAGGCCCTCCACGTCCACCTCCTTCACCCCGCACAGCACTGCGGGCACAGGGCGGGCGTGGCACCACCTGCCTGCACTGTACTCTCAGACTCGGGCTGCCCAGCGCCCAGGGCTCCCGCCCATCCGGCTGCGGCTTGAGGGCGTCCGCCCCGCCCCTACCCCGCCCAGATGGCCCTCACTCGGGGCCTCCAGAGGTCAGTGCGGGCTGGAAACCACAGCGAACGCTGCGGGGCTCAGGGGCGCCCAGCCGGGTGAGCCAGCCCAGCCCTGCAGGGTGGCCCCTTGCGCCCGGTGGGGGGCCAGTGCTCACCGACATTCCCCCGGTCGTCTTCCCGAAGCTGGATGTCGCGGCTGGCCGTCCCCACCTCCAGCAGGTCCCTGAACTCCTCCTTGTACACTTCCAGGTAGGACACGTGCACCAGGCAGTCCAGCAGGTCGTTCTCGTCGATGAGCTTGAAGGCCTCCGCCATGGCCCTCGGGATGACACCCTGCTCGTCCTCGTGCAGGGAGGCTGCGGAGACGGCGCCAGGCCTCAGCCCGGAGGCCCTGCCCGCAGCGGAGGCTGGGTCTCCAGCAAGAGGGCGGCTGCACAGGCCACCGCGGACTGGGCGGCCGAAGCGGCGTGGCCCGGGGCGCTCAGGATTTGAGCCGGAGCAACCCGGACGTTCCCCCAGCGCTCTGCTGACGTCGGCAGCCTCCAGGACTCCCGCCCGAGCGCGGGCAGGCCCCCGGGGCGGGGCGCCCGTCAGTGCTGCCCCACGGGCTGGCTAACGGCCTCCCACGCTCCCTGCGAGCAGGTAACCAGAGGCTGCCAGAGCGGCGCCTTCCGTAACTTCAACACTCGAACACGCGCCAACACCCTCACATCCAACAGCCCTGGCTCAGCACTACCTAATGTTCCCGGCGGGGTCCCTGCAGCCATTAAACAGTTCAACTGGGGGCCCTCCCTGGGGGCCCTCCCTGGCGGCCAGCGGGTCGGGACGCAGCGAGCTGGCAGCCGCTGCAGTGTGAGCTCGATCCCCGCCCCTGAGGTGGCCCCAGGGCACGGCAGGCCCCACCTGTCTCCCCGCTGCCCCCTCAGCAGTGTACTCTGCCCATCTGCCGGTTCTGCTCCCCGCTCTGTCTCTGGAACCCTCTCACCACCCCTGCACCTCTGGCCTGTACCCCAGTTCTGTCTGCATATATAAATAAATCTTTTTTAAAAATTCAATGGAATATGTAATATGACAGAATGTTTGTGATAAATTCAGAAAGTAAACCAGGATACAAAAGAGTGGGCGCAATATGATCCCATTTTTAAGTCTAGTTCTCACCAAGAAGAATGCTACAGGCAGTGGTCTCTACAGGCACCGCCAGCGAGCTCTCACTCGCATGTGATTTGCTGCCTTCGCCTAGTTTCCTGTGGCCAACAGGCACGCTTTGACTTAGAAGAACGCAACGTGTGTCTCAGGAGGGCACCCCCAAACCGCCACCCCGGCCACTGCAACCAGGACCCCGACTCCTGGCCGCCGCAGCCAGCCCGGCGACCTCCAGAGAGGACCCAACTCCCCACACCTGTGCCCGCCCGCAACGGGGACTGGCGGCCAGAGGGCAGGGCGCGCTCCGCGAGGGCGCAGGCCGCGCCGGTCACTCACCCACACTGGCCTCGCCCATGGTGTAGGTCTTCCCGGAGCCGGTCTGGCCGTAGGCAAAGACGGTGGCATTGAAGCCCTCAAAGAAAGCCTCCAGGAGGGGCTGCACACAGGCCTGGTACGTGGCCTCCTGCCCCGCGTCCTCGCCCAGCACCACGTGGAAGCCGAAGTGGCGGTCTCGGCCCAGGGTGACCCGGCCGTGCCCGGGCTCCACCCTCAGGCAGCTCTGGTGCCCATGCAGCAGCTCCTTGGGCAGCAGCGGGCGCACCCGCAGGGCCACCCGCACCGGGGCCTCCTCGACGGCCGGCAGCTTCTGGGCCTCCAGCCCCATGCTGAGGGAGGGCCCTGCGGAGAGCGGGCGCGCCTCAGCCCCGTGGGGGCGGGCAGGGCGGGCCGGGCTCAGGCCTGCGCCCGCTGGCGTGTGCAGCTGCGGGCCCACGGCCACCCTGGCGCCACGTGCGGGCTGCACCCTCCCCGGCCGCCTCCCAGACAGACATGCGCCCGCACCCCACCAGCTTCCAGGGTCTGGCTTGCCACATCACCCCGCCCCACCTTCTGCCCCCACTGCCAATCTCCACCGCCAAATCCACCTCCTTGACGCTTCTCGGGGTCACCTGCTTCTCCCCATCCTACTGCCCTGTCCTGGTCACCTACAGCCTCCGGACTGATCTTCCTGCCCCCCTCTCCCCGCCCCAGCAGCCGGGGTCATCTTTCATAAGGGGGGGCTGCCAGTCTGTAACCTCCCCTAAAGGAGGCTCCCACTGCCTTGGGGGCTGGCTGCCTTAGCAACCCACCTCCCTAGTACCCCAACTTTCCTTGAGCTGCCCACCTTCTAGTGGGAACCCGGGAAAGGCCTTTTGCACCCCCACATGGGCTCAGCCATCATGGGTCCCTGAGGGAGCCTCCACCCGGCTCCCCGGCCACCCAGACCCGGTGGGGGGCGGCCTCCTCGCCCCCTTCCTGCAGGGTCCTGTGCTCAGCAGCCCCCCGCCTGTATAAACCACGCTTAACCATCAAAGAACGTTCCGGCTGGGCCCCCCAGTTGGCCCGGTCCTCGCAGCAGGGGCCCCCACCCTTTCATTTCTCATTATTTTGGTTCTCCCAGCACGCTAAGGTGGTTCGTTCAATCCTCCAGGGCGGCTGGGGCCGGCCCTGGGGGCCCAGGAACTCGGCGCCTCGCGCACCCCTC